CATCTTTGTGATACTAACTAACTAAAAAAAATCTAGAATTGGGTCTTAGATGCAAGTATGCTATTTTTGTATTTTTCATGAATTACATCAATTAATTAAAAAAAATGCACAAACATGCAAACAATCACAAAAATCATGCAGTTAATTCCCTAAAATTCAAATAAGAAAAAAAAAATCCTAATTTTAATGAATTCTATAGGAGTAATTTAAGCAAGGCAAAAATCACGTGCTCACAATTATTAACAACGGAAAAGGGTTATATTTGCCTACTGTACTATTAAAATTAGTTATATTTATCCTCTGTTAATGTATTGGATGTTAAATACTCTCGCCGTTACCATTTTGAACATAATTACCCCTCTTAGTAATGGACCAACGGGCCCACCTTCTACATTTCCACGTGGAGGCAATCTGTTCAATACCTGGTTATTAGCCAACCATACCCACTTTCCTTGACCTGTCCTTTCCGATTTTTACAAAAGGGCCAACTTTTCCGTTCACCATCTCTGACATTCTCTCTCTTTTTTCTCTGAATTTACAATTTATATTCTCTCTATATTGCATCACCCTAAAATGATGATAAAATTCCATGATCGCTGGCAAAACTCATAGATCAACAGGTAGTCACAAGCTACAGAGACCGGTTGAATATAATGACCCGGCTGGTCGTTTTGTATATTTGAGTACCATCCCCTATTTGATCCTTTCCGTGTGCTTATTTGTGGTTATGTAACTTGCGGGGACAGTTGGTTTGGTTTCGGAGAGGTTTGGGATTGAATTGTAACACTTAGTTCCTAGTTTGGAAGCTTAAGTTGGAAGTATTGACCAAGTTTAACTTTTGTGTATTTGACCTCAGATCGGATTTTTAGTAGTTCTGCTAGGTCCGGATGGTGATTTTGGACTTAGATGTATGTTCGAATTTAGCTCTAATTGGCGAAGTTGGAAGTTTGAATGTTTAGAAGTTCATAGGTTTGACCTATAGTTGACTTTATGGTTATCGATGTTCGTTTTGGCTTCGAGCCTTGGAGTAGGTTCGTATAGTGATTTATGACTTGTGTATGAAATTTGAGGTCATTCCGAGTTGTTTAGGCATGTTCGGTGTAAGTTTGTAATTCGAAAATTTGGATTAGGTCATTAAGCTTGAATTGGTATATGATTTGTGTTTTTGATGTTATTTTATGTGATTTGAGGCCTCGAGTAGGTACGTATTATATTTTGGTATTAGTTGGTGTGATTGGACAGCGTCCCCGGGGCCTCGAGTGTGTTTCGGATGGGTTTCAGACCATTTCCCGTTGTTTTAGATCAGCTGTCTTCTAGGGTTTTGGTGTTAATCGCGATCGCAGAAGGGCTTCGCGATCGCGGAGAGTGTCTTGGCGGCTGGTGATATTTGCTTTTCGCATTCGCGATAGGTGTGTCGCATTCATAGAGCAAGGGGGCAGTGGCCTTCACGTTCGCGTCCTGGATATCATATTCGCGTAGAAGGGAAGGACAGATGGGTTTGTCGGGCTTTTAGCCTTCGCGTATCAGGTACCGCATTCGTGTATGCTCAATAGACGAAGGCACTGTGTTCGCGTCTAGGTCCTCGCGTTTGGGTAAGAACTTGGCCTTTGCAATCGCAAAGTAGGTCCCGCAATCGCGAAGGGTATCACTGGTAGATACTTAAGTACTCTATTTCGAGGGTTTGGGTTATTTTATTATATTTTGAGATTGGTAGCTTGGATTTGGGTGATTTTTTTAGGGGATTTTCACGATTTAGATTGGGGTAAGTTTTTTTTGACTCGGACTTGGTTATTATTCATGATTCCAACTTGAATGTTTTAGCATTTGAATAATGAATCTAAATGAAGAAATTAGGGATTTTTCAAAATTTTTTAAAATAAAAATGGGGATTTGACCCCCGATTCGGAGTCAGATTTGGATGAACTTGTATGGTTGGACTCATAGGGTGTTCGATATTTCTGACCTTTGTCAGGTTCCTGGAGGCGGGCCCGGGTTGACTCTTTGGTTGACTTTTAATTTTTGATAGAGATCGGAGCTTTATTAATTGGAACCAGATTCTACATCCGTGTTTGATATTATTGAGTTGTTTATTGCTAGATTTGACCCGTTCGGAGGACGATTCGAGAGGCAAGGGCTTTCTAAAGTATTGATTTGGCTTGTTTGGGGTAAGTAACTTGCCTAAACTTGTGTGAGGGAATACCCCTTAGGATTTGGCCCTAAATTGCTTATTTGGTTATATGAAAAGCGACGTGCACAAGATGTGACGAGCTTGTACACGGGTGCTATTTGTGGATTATGACCGGGTTAGAACTTAGGTTATTGATATGTCTTAATTTAGGGATGTACTGTATATGAAATATGCTCCATCACTTTGTGGATATGTGAACATGATAACTACATTTGTTTTAATAGTGATAGTACTTTATTTGTTAAGTACACATCCGTATATTGCTATTTGCATGTCCTTGTGCACCATGTTGCTAAATTATAAATTCATATCCGTGATGAAACCTTGAATATTTTTTTTGTGATTTTTGTGGCATATGTGGCATGTTCGGCGGAACGATATAGGTGGCTATGTGATATTGTCAGAGCAGAGCGATGGCTATTGCGATATTCTCAGGGCGGAACTATACGGGTAGCTATTATAATTTTGTTAGAATGGAGTGATACATGTGGCTATTGTTGTTGTGATAAAAAGTAGGCACTAGGTGTTATTTGTGTGTGTTTCTTTATGATGACTTGTTGTTGAAACGGAGCCTTTACTTGCATTGAATTGTTATCACTTAATTTGATGAGGTTACTGCTATTGTTTTTTGTTATATTTTTATTGTCAGTCTTTGATTTATTGCACAAGTTATTTTGACTAGTGAGTATCACATTACTTCAACCTCGTCACTACTTCACCGAGGTTAGTCTTGATACTTATCAGGTACCGACCGTGGTGTACTCATACTACACTTCTGCATATTTTTGTACAGATCCAGGTGTTGGAGGTAGTGGATCTAGGCAGTGAGAGCTTCATCGACCGCCAGGATTCAAGATAGACCTGCATTGACCATCGCAATCCCTTGGAGTCCTTTCTTTACATTGATGCTGCCATTTTACTATCTGAATTGTATTGTACTTTGAGATATTATTATGTGTTTTGTTAGAGCTCATGACTCTGTACTATCTGGTTATGCTTTTATTATTACTGTCGCTTGGCTTGTATTACCTTTATTTCCGCATTCATGTTATACTCTGCTTTATTATATCATGTTTTTATTGATTTAACTGTTGTAAGTGATCTGCTTACCTACATTTTTACTTTCAATTGCGTAATTTAAGATTCATGGAAAAATCAGAGTTTTGCTCAATTTTATTTTTGATTGATTTAGGAACTTTTGTTGGGTTTTTCCATTTTGAGTTTTTGATTGAAATTTATATAGTTTAACCACATATTTCAATGGCGGTGAAAGGCAGTGAAGGTGACGAGGAAATAGAGAAGCACAAGGATGGTGAAACCGAAAAAAGGAGAAAACGAAAAAAAGAGATAGAACAAGAGCTATAACTATAAATTTCAGAAAGAAAAATAGTTTATGGTTCACTATTTGGATTTGGATCTTGATGGTGAATGGAACTGGCATAGATGTGTGTTAAGAAGATGCTACAGATTTGAAATGAAAATTATTATGGATTTTTGGATGAAATTGGCATAGCACCAGCGAGTATCTTGATATGACTTTTTGAGATTTTGGGTGGGGTGGGAAAGAAGGGAGGGGGTGAGATGATGAAGATTCACATAGTTCGATTTTCTCTTTGGCGAAGAAAGATCTGAATTTTGAAATGGGTTGGCTAATAATCGGGTATTGAAGAGATGGAAATGTAGAAGGTGGGTCCATTGGCCTGTTAGTGAGAGGGGTAATTATGTTCAAAATGATAACAACGAGGATATTTAACATCAGATACATTAAAGGAGGATAAATATAACTAACTTTTAGTAGTACATGGGCAAATATAACCCTTTTCCGTTGTTAATAATTGTGCAAGTTCACTATGCTAATATCAGACGGTTAGGTTTATTGAGTCATTCTAATGGTTGTAATATTAATTTTCTCGTGTGGCAAGTCACATCAAGATGTCTTGTCACATCATGGTGTTGACGGGATATTGAGTTTGACTGGATTTGATCCGTTTTTTAAAATAAATTTTACCGGCTTTCATGTAATTAATAGAGTGTGCTACGATTTAAAAGATGATTATTTAATTTAAAAACACGGCTAGTAATATTTATTAAAATTGCCAACTACTACAATAATATTGTGGTAGTTATTATTTATTTTTGAAGGGTAGAAAATACTAGTATTTGAAAAGTAGGACAATTATCAATAAATTATTTTGAATTTCAAAAAAATGCACAAAACTCGTAGTATTTGCTGAAATGGAGATTTGAGAAGAGATAGAAACCCTAAATAACGAGGGAGAAGAGATGAGAGGAACATGAAGATGAATGGAACAGTAGCGAAAAATGAATACTCTGTATCATTACTTGTACAAGCTATGTATATATATACATGACTTACTAACTACTATAACCACTTCACTAACCAATCACATGTATCATTAACTAACTAACTAACTAACACACTAATCTGCTAGCACATAAATAGGCCAAACTACCCTGTATTCAAGTTACATCTTTTATCTCAACGCTCCCCCTCAAGCTAAGTGGTAGAAAGACATCAAATACACCTAGCTTAGACATTAAATACTCATGTTACACTCGTGGTAGACCTATGGTTAGAATGTCTGCTAATTGCTCCTTTGTAGCTACATATTCTGTTTGTACAAGACCATTATGTATCTTTTCCCTTATAAAGTGAAGGTCTATTTTAGCGTGTTTAGTTCGTTCATAAAATACTGGGTTGGCAGCTATTTGAATTGTTGCTTTACTATAAGTGTAGATGTTCATAGGGAGGCCAACCTCTAAACCAATGTCTTTGAACAAACCAAGTATTTCACACCAGTTCAGCTACAGTTGATGCAATGCTTCTATACTCAGATTCTGCAGAGCTCCTAGAAATGGTGCTTTGTTTCTTTGACTTCCAGGATATCAGAGAGTCACCATACTTGATGAAGTAGCCTATTACTGACTTTCTAGTGATAGGGCAGGTTGCCCAGTCTACATCACAATAGGCAGTGATATTGTTCCACTGTTTGCTAGACAACAGTGTGCCTTATCTTGGTTGGTTTTTAACATATCTGACCACCCTTTTGAGCAGCTTCTAAGTGTGATCTTTTTTGGTTTCTGCATAAATTGGCTTAGTGTCTGAACACTACATGATATGCCTGGCATTTGGTACTGGATGATGTCTGTTAACACTTCATCATCAATTGCATTAGAGCTGCTAGTGTGTTCATCATACTCCTTAGTGGTTAGTTTGATGTTGGCTTTAATAAGTGTTGCTGCAGGTTTTGCTGCTCCCAGTCCAAGTTCAGAAATTAGCTCTAGAGTGTACTTCCTTTGGTGCATTAGAATGCCTTGTTGTGACCTGGCAAACTCAATGCCAAGAAAATATTTAAGATCTCCTAGGTCTTTCATTTTGAGTGTCAGCTGCAGCTTGGTCTTCGTCTCAGATATTAATGTCAGGTTAGGCCCAGTGATGAGCATGTCATCAACATAAACCAAGATGATTATGATATGTTCTCCTAATCCTTTGATGAACAAGGAGTGATCATGTTGGCTTTGCATAAAGCCAAACCTCAGAAGTGCCTCAAACAACTTAGCATTCCACTATCTTGGTGCATGTTTGAGCCTATACAGGGATTTCAAGAGTCTGCATGCTGGTCTTGTCTCCCTCTGACTCTGAAAGCCCTGTGGTAAGGTCATGTAGATCTCATCATGTAGGTCCCGTTGAAGAAAAGCATTGTACGCATCCATTTGATAGATGTGCTAATGTTCAGAGGCAGCCACAACGAAGATAGTTCTAACAGTAACCATCTTAACTACTAGGCTAAATGTCTCTTGATAGCCAATGCCCTTCTGCTGGTTGTACCCTTTGGCTACCAGCCCGGCTTTGAATCTCTCCATCTCTCATGTAGCTTTGTACTTCACCTTATAGATCCACTTGCATCCAATAAGCACCTTGCCTTCGGGTAAGGGCACCACATCCCAGGTGTGATTGGATTCTAATGCAGCAATTTCAGCTTGTATAGCTTCAACCCACCTAGGATCTTAAGCAGCTTGTTCAAAAGTAGTAGGCTCCTGGATTGCAGAGAATGTTGTCAAATAGGCTTGATACTAGGAAGAAATTCCATCATAGGACACATAGTTAGCAATGGAATAGGGAACAGACTTGTGTCCTGGTTGTGACACAAAGTCCTTCATCCATATAGGAGCCTGCCTTGTCCTCAAAGATCTCCTCATAACAGTGGAGTTCTGAGTAGTAGGAGGAAATGTAGAAGGCACTACATTTAGTGCTTACTGGTGCAAAAGAGAAGAATCAGTAGACTCATGTCTAGCACGAACAGAAGGAAGTGAAGGCTGCTCTTCACTAGAACTGGACAAATCAGGAGGCAAGAAAATAGGAGGTGCTGTGGATGTGATATCTTTGAAGGGAAATATATTTTCCCTGAAGGAGACATCCCTGTTGATAGAAAAACAATTAGAAGAAAAATCCAAAAGAATGTAGGCCTTCTGAGTATCAGAGAAGCCCATAAGAACAACTGGCTTAGCTTTGGGCATAAGTTTATCTGTTTCATGAACTTGCTTGGCATAGCACAAGCAACCAATAATTCTTAAGTGGCCCAGATTAGGTGCCCTACCATACAACATTTCAAAGGGAGAAAGACCATGAAGAACAGAAGATGGCATCCTATTTATGATGTACACTACTGCAAGCACACAATGCCCCCAGTACTTGATGGGAATATTGATCTGAAACCTTAAAGCTCGTGTGACTTCTAAGAAGTGTCTTTGCTTTCTCTCAACAACTCCATTTTGAGGGCACAGGTTCTTTGATAGATGATGACATACTTCTGAAACAATGTGGTGCAGTTAGAGTTGACAAACTCAAAATCATTGTCTGACCTGACTGCTTTCACAATTTTGTTAAACTGAGTTTGAATAAACACAATAAGCTGAGTAAGCACCACACATATATCATATTTGAGCTCAGTAGAAATAATCAAGTCATCCTAGTAATGTCATCAACAATTGTCAGAAAATACTTATTGCCCAAAGGTTGCACAGTTATATGGACCCCAAACATCAAGATTTATTAGATCAAAAGGAGCAGCAGTCTTAATACAGCTAGAAGGAAAAACAACCTGGTTTTCCTAGCACGGGGACATACACTACGTTTATTGAAATTGTCATTGATCTAGTTTGACAGCAAACAGTTTCCTAAGAATAATACTAGATACATGGCCTAGTCTTTCATGCCACAAGGCAACATCAGTTGTAGTGTCACCCTGTCTTGATTTTATTCCAGTAGCAGCTAAACAGACTGCAGTGAACTTCTTACCACCATATCTCTGCAAAAACTATAGACCATCTCTTTCTCTACCAATCTCCCTCCTCCTACCACTGAAGAGATCTTGAAAGACACACAAATCAGGATAAAAGGAAGCAAAGCATTTAAGATCACTTGTCACTTTGGAGACTGATAATAAGTTGAACTTGAACTGAGGTACATAGAAAACTTCTATCAGAGTGCTTCTGTCTGAAATATTACTGTCACCAGTGTGAATTACTTGGGTGACATCTCCATTAGGTAATAAGGGTCTCCTAGACTTAGAGGGAGCAACTACAGAATTCTTAGTGAGCAAGTTAGCATCTGACACCATATGATTAGTTGCTCCAGTATCAATAATCCATTCTTGTGGAATAGTAGATACTAAGAGAGCAGCTCTAGTACCTACCACATTTGCCTGAGTAGAGGAAGCTGAATTATTCATAATCTTCATTATCTGATCATACTATTCTTTTGTGAAAGGAAAATCACTTCCTTAAGTCTGTAGAGGGGAACTTGTGGAAGTCCCCTGTGCATGTATAGAAGATGATCCTGCTTGAGCTTAAGGGCCAGAGTGACCATGTGCCTGACTTATAGCTTGAGAATACTCAGCTCCTTGATTCATGGTCCGATGGTATTTTGATATGTAGGCATATGAGGCATTGGTGTATGCTGAGGAACATAGTCTGAGACATGATTGGAGTACATAGGCATAGTGTATCCAGGTTCGACCATTGCATTATAAGCCCCAGCTCCCCCTTTCTTTTTGAATTTATAATATGGTGGATAGCCTATGATTTCGAAGCAATTTTTTTTACTGTGCCCCTTCATTTTGCAAAACTCACACTGAATGTTATAGTTCTTCCTAAATGTCTAGGCTTAGCACTGTATAGTGCAGTTGAATCATAACGATGTGCATTTACAGTAGGTGAAGGTCCTAAAATACCAGCAGAAGTAGCTACAACTCTTTGACCTCCATCACTCGTAAGCATGGATATGCTTGATTCATTGAAGAAAGTGGCTTCATCGTAAGTATTTGACTACGAGTTTGAGAGTAAGAGTCATTCAAGCCCATTAGCAACTGATATACTTTTTGCTTTCGTAAATGTACAACAAATTCCTTTGTCTTGACACAATCACAACTAGGTGTGGGTATTACAGACTTAGACTCATCCCACAGGTCCTTATGCCTGGAACAATAGACATAGATAGAGGAAGTACCTTGACTTAGGGTAGCATTTTCCTTGTGCAAATTGTAGCAACGAGTATCATTCTCTTTGTCAAACCTCTCTTGTAAATCCATCCACATCTTCTCTGCACTAGTGGCATAAGCAATACCACTGATTACGGTTGGTGCAAACTAAGTTCATCAACCATGACAACACAAATGCATTGCATCATTCCTATTGATACCAATACTTCTCACAAAATCGCTCTTTTGGCCACTTGCCATCAACAATGCGCAGTTTACCGTGGCCAAGTAAAGCAATACGCATAGATCGATACCACAAGGAGTAATTATTGGTGTCAGTCAGCTGAAATGGAATCAATAAAATTCCACCTGTGTCACTGGGAGCCAGGTATAGGGGGTGCGTGACTGCAATTGTAACACCTTCCTTGAAATCATCATCAGAGGATGCATGCGATACGTTTTCAGCCGTGACAATTGCATTGTCATGTTCCAAATCATCAATAGCCATTGTTGAGTACTTTGGAGCTTCGAATCAGAAAAATGAGATCTCAATTGCTTCGAGAATGCAAAGAAGAAGATAGAATAGAGGAGAAGACACATGATCGATTTGCGAGCTTCGATTCAGAGCTCGAGCTCTGATACCATGCTGAAATGGAGATTTGAGAAGAGATAGAAACCCTAACTAACGAGGGAGAAGAGAGGAGAGGAACATGAAGATGAATGGAACAGTAGTGGAAAATAAATACTCTGTATCTCATTACTTGTACAAGCTATGTGTGTGTGTGTGTGTGTGTGTATATATATATATATATATATATATATATATATATATATACTAGTCTCTCGGCACGTGCGTTGCACGTGTATGCCGAACCATATAATAAACTGTTTTGTATTGACTAAACAATTATGGTTGAAAAATAAATTATAAACTCTATGAATGACTAATGTGGATCGTCGTTAGACAACTTGTTTGTTGAGGTCAAAATAATTAGATATTATTTGAATCTATAAAAAAGAAGAATCAAACTTTGATCAGATACATGTTACTATTGAACTCAAACATAGAATTAAGTTCTGTGAAGCAAATATATATATTTGGCAACTACGTGAAAAGTACTATACAATAATTAGTACTATCACTTTAAAACTTTTAAAGGCATATATAAAATTATGGTCAACGAAAAATCTTTTGACTCTTAAAATTCGAACACCGCCATGTAAGTTGAGATAGGGAGAATATTTTTCTTTTACTTATTTAAATGTTATGCGTTACTAACATGTAATAAAATATTTCTCACTTAATACTTCCTTATATATAGATCCTATTGTATGTTCCTTTTATCCGTTCCATTTGGTGTATCATGACATCGAGTAAATAGTATTAGTGTTCCTATCTTGATTAGCCTTTTGTTTAGATTGAACAATAACCTGCTTCATATTATAGAGCTATTAACATCAATAATAGATATTTACATTTATGAAAATAATAATCATTTAGATGAACATATAATAAACGACGTTATCTATAGCGTGAATTGCATTGACACTCTTTTCAATTGAATAATTGTCATATAAATATAGATAACTGAGAAAAGAAGAATTATGGATCAAAATAATGAAAAAATTGATATTAAATTTTGAATGTTATATTATAAGAAAAATGGAGAACTGAAGTTGGCATTTAGATTGACACCACCATTGATAATACTTTTTCGTTAAATACAACATTAAAAATTAAATCAGCTCATACTTTATTTCATTGTAAAAATAAAGATCACTAATCTTTTTTGACTTTAAATTTAATTATTGTACTTTAATATTTTCCCTCCTTCTTGGCAAGGTTATCTTCATCCTAAACTGTATTTCAAGAACAATTAATTTCCTTCTTGAAATTTACCTTTTCTTATCAATATCGACAAAAAAAGTTTTTTTTTTAATCTTTATTCAATACAACTAAGTCAA